GGTATGTGTTCATACCTGGAATAATATTATTTGTTTGTTTGTTTGTTTGTTTATACAATTTACCCACCCATAGCCAGCCATCTCACCAACAAGCGAGTCTGGGTGGTGCACAACAGGCCTAAAAGAGTCAGTAAGTACATTTAAAAGATATAAAAACCAAACTAAAACAAAAAATAATAAATGAAGGGATGTTAAAAATAGGGGAGCCACCTCATTAATTCACCTTCCATACTCCGTTCACACTCCATACTCAAGCTGACGTCTTGCCCATGTTATGGTGTTGAGTATTAGTCAATGGGGGGAATCCTAGGAACATTCAAAGCTCAAGTGCCAGAAACCTCTACCCTTTCCCCAGGAACCTTACCCGACTTGTAAAAGTGAAACTCAGAACTCCGAGCATCAACTGCAGCTGAAACTGGACCAACCGTGGCCACAGCCTGCTGAAGGCCCTCCTCGTCTCCTGTCATGATGACTCCCATGGAGCTACATGTAGTAACAGAATTCTCAGGGTCATAACGACAACTATAATCATCCTGCAGAAAAATAAATAGTGACCATGGTTAGTCCTGTGGGTGTGGAGAGAAGAAACATTCCCTGTCGAAACGGGAAGTGTAAAGAGTGGTCTTGGGCAGTGATGAAGAAATGTAGTTCTGCCACACTCAGGTAGAATGCAAACGTCATGGCGTTATTGCCCACCTGGATTGAAGATCTCATAATCCAGCCCAGAGACGCTTGATAATGAGATGGGCAGTGACAAATTTGATATATAAAATAAAATAAATAAATAAGTAAATATTCATCCCTAAGTGGATCAAGGGGGATCATGGTGTTCTATCTTCTCCCTTACTTCTCATGGCAAAACGTCACCGTTGATGGCCTAAGACAGCCTCCGCTCATGACTAAAAGTCTCTCCCTGCTATTGCTTGGAGGCATTTTCAGCTAGGGGTGTGAAGCAAAGCAAAGCCGATTCCATTTGAAGCAGGCACAGGAATACACGCAGAATTACCAGTCCATCATAGGGATAGCTTTTCTCTGAATTGATTCCTCCTTGCTTCCTCACATACTCAAAAGCTTGGTTCATAAGTCCACCCTGGCATCCTATATTCCCCTGCTCCTCAGAGCAGTCGATAAGGTTTTGTTCGCTCAGCGAGACCAGCTTCCCCGTCTTCTTGAAATGCATAGCTTCCAGAGCGCCAGTGGCACTGAAGGACCAGCAAGATCCACACTCACCCTGTGCAAAAAGAAAGCTGGAGTGACCCACTGAACATCTGAAAACTTTATATTCCTTTAACAAGTTACTTGTTCTCAGTTCTTGGTAGTAGGCAGCTGAGTCTGGACAGGATTGAAGCTTTGGGGATGAAGTTAAGAGAGGAAAGAATTCAGCTTCATCTGCAAATCTTCATGAATCAGTCCAATTCTGACTTGTGGCAAAAACGGGCAGATCATAACACCCTTCTTTTCCTTCAAAGCATCTCTACATCAGTCCTCAATTCATGGCTTGTCAGGGCCATCCACCCAGGCTATTCAGGACCCACCTGATCTTTGACCGGAGTGACATAACCTTTGGCTCGCCAGTCCACATCGTCCGGAATCTGCCGTGTTTTGGAGGATTTGAACACGACGACGTTCTTTTGAGTTGCGTGATCCGAGTCAGGACGGAAGCAATTCAGTCTCTCGTTAATCTCTGCATTAGTCTGAGGGTTGCAAAGAGTATCTATTTTGAACAAAAGGATCACCTCGGCCTCAAGGTGGAACTGAGATCGTGGATGTAAAGTTGAGTGGCGCGGACTCTTAAGATGGGAATATATACTCAATGATGCAGCCACTTGTTCTAATCTTTTCTGCTGACCATCTGAACTAATCAATGCCTGACATGTCTCCAGGTCCAACAGTACTTGCTTAGCAGAATTTGAGGGAACTCAGTCTGAGCAGTCTGGCAATGAAGCATTTATAGCACACACTGTAAAGCAGTGTTTCTCAACCCCAGCAACTTTAAGATGGGTGGACTTCAGCTCCCAGAATTCCCCAGCCAGCCATGCTGGCTGGGGGATTTTTGGGGGTGAAGGCCCCCCCATCTTAAAGTTGTTGAGGTTGAGAAACATTGCTGTAAAGGGTATCCTGTGACGTAGCTAACTGACTCTCAGAGAGCCTTCCCCCCCGCACCTAAGTGCCCCAAGGCATAATCATGTCCCATCAACCTGTTTTTTTCTGCTCTGTCTTCATCTTGAAGTACCTTGGTGCATCAGGTGATGTTGATGTTACCTAGTTGGGTGATGAAATGTTTGCAAGCAAACCACCAAGCTCAGAGAGCACCAAGGACTCCACACTGAAATTTTTGCACTAGGGCTTCCAGGCCTTGGAAGTTATACTGTAGCTACAGATCAATTCCCTTGAACAAGATCGATACCAAAAGAGGGTGAAGCAAAATGTGTCTCCTGGGATTATGGGAAAGGAGGAGAGGTAGGGAACAGAAGGCACTAGAGTGGATTAAGGGAATACAGTACAGAAGTATGAATACTCACAGTTTTAACACATGACATACATGAGGGAGCCAGGTGGAAGAATTGGAATCATGTAATCATAAATATAACATTTATGATTGGGTTCAAGTTCTGCAGGGTGGTGGGATGGTAAAGGCCATGGAGTGGGAAGATCCCAGTTCAGGACCACCCTCAGCCATGGAAGCTCACTGGGTGGCTTTGGGCCAAGAAATAGTGAGTGCCCCAATCTTCTTCCCAAGGGTGTTGATATGGGAGGTGGGAATGCTAGGTAGGCCATCTGGAGCTCCTGGAGGAAAGAGGACATCTATATCTAATAAATAAATAAAAACTAGCAGTGAACCAGGCTTACCAAATCGCCGAAGTGGTTCATGCCAAGTCTGTAGGTATGTTTCCCCAGGTCCGCCTGGGTGTTATGGTCTTGGATCATCCGCAGATTTTCCTCCCATACAGCTCTTCGGAAGGATTCTTCCTCCTGCTGGGAAGCCAAGACTGGTAAGACCCCTTAGTCCCATCTGCCTAAACAAGTGCCAGTTATGAAGCCTATAACTAGCATTCCTCTCCTCTATAAAATGGTTCTCGGTCTAGGATTCAGTTGCCCAGGAACATACCAATAGTGACAGCCAGCTCAGCTCCCGTTGCTTCAGAATTGTTGAACTAAAATACAGCTATTTAATCTGGGTTCTACTGGAGCAAACTCACCTTGATGTATTCTTTACTGTGAGTGGCCTTCCAGTCTCTCCATGTCCCCTCCAGGCTTGGATCCAGCGCTGTGGACAAAGTCCTCAGGGAGACCAACCAGGTCAGGGCCACCACCGAGATGGACAGCATTGTCTTTCTCTAGGAGAAGGAAGAGAATTGAACCACCCGAGAGCCTGGCCGAGGGGGCCGCGTTCTGGGAATTGCAGGCCAGCAGCACCCGGTGGGCCACAGGTCCCCACCCCCGATTTACAGTGCTTAAAAAAAAGAAAAAGACTAAAACTTTTCAACTTCCGTTGCTGTCAGTAAATGCTTGAACCAAATGAAGATCATGGAAATCTCTGGAAAGTCTAGTCTAAGGATAAACTGCAAGATTATGGAGCTCACCCCAAGCTGGTTTCCTACGTAAGGCAAAGGGACAATTGTTAAACAAAGCGGCAGCAGCCCCTTTTATAAAAGGCAGATAATATAAAATTACCACTAACTGACTTCTACAAGGAAATTCTTCACATATCTCTAGGTATCTTTGGAATGCAAGGCCTTTTGTTTTAATAAGATAATGTTCTTTTCAATCTCTCTTTCTTGGACATCTTGTGTTGGGGGAAAGCACCATAGCTTCCGAAAAGCCACCGTGGAGGCGGCTGAGCTGATTTTCATCTCCTATCCCTGGAAACATCTCTGCATTTTTGTGGTGTTGCAACAGTCTCAACGTCCTAAGAAGAAAAACGCCATGTCTGATTTCTATCTAGCTTCTCCGCCTGCCTTGGTCATTCCTAGAAGCGTGTGCTCTTCCGAGCAGGTTATTCAAAGTCAACCACAGTTATTACTAATCGTGGGGGAAAATATCAATTTAGTTCATCTTTATTTGTGCAAATGTCACGTGTGGTTCTTCAACCACCAACCTTTATAAAATTAATAAAATTATTAAGACTTTTCA